ACTTTCGTTAAAAGCATTTAAATGAAACTTTCTTTTTACAAACAACTTTAAAACACTTATGAAAAAATTCTTCCATTTAAAAATAATTTACATTTAGTTCCAAAGCATAATTAGAACTTTGAATTTTGTCATTTCAAAGCTTGGGTCAATTTCAAAGCTAACATGTCAAATTGCATTGCAGATGCATGTATGTGGATATGCACTGGTATATTGGTTGAACTAGATGCTAAAATGCTAAATTGAGATGTTTAGCGAAAGTTGGAACCTCAAATGTGTTGGAAAATTCCCAAATTTTGGCTTTGTATGAAGAAAGTATCGAGACTTGGAGTATGAGTCTCGATACATTGGAAACAAAATACTCACAATCCTAAACCAACATTTGCTCCAACTTTAGTTTGCAACTATCTTTATCTTTAGATAGTAAAATTAAATAAAAGTTTGTGTTGATGAACACTAAGACTAGACTATTATAGTAGTATGCATAATTTCTTTTTTAAATTATATGATTTTGTTTAAAGTTTAGGTAAAATTATGTAATTAGTCCCTATACTCTTTTCAAGTAGTGGACATAATCATAGTTTAATAATTTATGAAAATTATGTCTCTACACTTCCCAAAAATGATAATGTCAATCTAATTATTAAGGATGCATATTGAGATATATATATATATATATATATATCCTTCACTATTAATTTTTTTAGTTACTACTATGTAGAAGTTTAATTAGGAAAAATAATTTTAGAGTTTTAAAAAAAAAATAAATAAAAGAATAGAATAGGATGTAGTAAGTTTAAATTATAAAACATAAATCCTAAATGAAAATTTAGAGTTGTTTAAGATAGTCCCTTTTAGGAAAATTATAATAATAAAATACAATTTTTTTAAAAAAATAAAATTTCTTGATTTTTGTCAGTATATTAGGAAAATCAGAAAAAGTTTTCTTTTAGTAAAAATTTCTCAATTTTTGCAACACATTGGAAAAATTAAGGAAAGGTTTTCTATCAAAATCTTTTGGATTTTCCTCGACATGTTGGGAAAACCCAAAAATTGTTTTCATAAAATTTCTCGAGTTTGAATCAAGAAAAGTTTCTTTTAGTACAAATTTCATGAATTTCACCAGCACATTAGGAAAATCAAGAAAAGGCTTTTGTCCTAATTTTGTTGGTTTTGGCCAACACGTTGAGAAAACTCAAGAAGAGTTTTCTTTTAGTAAAAATTTCTCGATCGTCACCAACATGTTAGAATAAGGTTTTATAAAACTTTTCAATTTTCGCCAGCACGTTAGTAAAACTCAAAATAAGGTTTCATAAAACTTCTTGATTTCCACCAACTCGTTGAGAAAATCAAGAAAAGTTTTGTTTTTTTGTAAATTTTTTTTATTTTTGGTAAAATATAGGGAAAATCAAGTTTTCATAATTCCCAACATATAAACTATACACATTAATTAAAGCGATTAGGAAGAATAAAATTAAATATGGAATTACAATTTAATAAGGCTAAAAGATTACACAAAATTAATTAGGTACCAATTTAAATAGGCATTGTAAAAGTAATAATACCTTCATCACACATGACTGTATTCTCGAACTTAGTTTATTTCGTAGATTGAAACATATTCTTTTTAATAAACCTAAGTCAGGATTAAGACCTTATTAGAAAAAATAAATTTAACTAGGTGATCAATTACAGCAAAACAAAAAAATTGACGATGATTCTTGTTTTACGTTGAATGATTGAGTTTTTAGACTTACACGTTATAGTTTAGGGTAAGAAAGAAAGGTATGATTATTTTTTTTGACTTTCGAAATAAGACATTAATTTGGAACAATTAGAGTTATGCAAACAATGTATCACACATAAGACTCGAGAGAGTAATATTTTTTTATAAAATTTTAAACTTTCACTAAGAAAAAAAATGTTATAATTTGTTCATTTACTATTTTAATTTAAAGCCATTTAATTACAAGTTTTATCTTTTCAATTGAATATTCAAGTTTTATTGAACTTGGACCATTGACAATTCTAATATTTTTAGATTTAAATCACGTCAGGTTTAAATTTTTTAAATTCAAATCATGTTGGGTTTATTTTATTGGAATTTTAATAATTTCAAATTAAAATAATTCAATTTTGATAAAATATTAAAGGGATGGCAGCAAATTTTGAGTGTGGATAAATCTTGCGCCTTTATGTAGGCAGCAAAAGAGGAATCTAGTGAACGAAGTCCACAGCTTAAAAAGTTGGAAAAGCTTAAGCCGGATAAGGACGTCACCCAGCGGTCCTTTTATTCTAAGTGGAATTTGTCACCAAAAGATGAGTCGGTCGATCCAGCTGATAATCAACTGCCACGAACGAGTAATCGCTCGATTCCTCCCGAGTGGCAGATCACGACAAAGTAATCATATATGTCAGTTTCTGTGGTCGGTTGTTGCGGATACATGGCTTTGCTTCTCTCGTTTCGGGAATCTTGACCAAAGAAAACAATCGTTGGGTCTTTTATATATATATATATATATATATATATATATATGTTAATACTTTAAATTTCATATGATTATCAAAATATTTTGAAATAATACTTGAAATTAAAAAAATTTAAAAAAAATTATTTTTTTATTAAATTTAATCAAATTCATACATTTTTATTTAAATTAAATAAATAAATTATTATTATTAATTAAAATAATATTTATAATAATAAATGATAATATAACATACTGAAATGATATAATGATTTGGTCATATAATATTTTCATTATCAATATCAATATCAATATCACGTTAAAGTTACATGAGTATAAAATGATAAATATTATTTAATTTTTTTAAAATTAAAGAATTTGATTAAAAAAATGATTTGAATAAAAATATTATTTTAATTAATAACAATTAATTAACTTATTGATTGAGACCAAAGATATGAAACCTTGAATAAATATGATAAAAAATAAAAATTTATTTAAATTTGTTAAAATAATTTATAGTTTTCTTTTTTAGACTTTATGTCAAATATTTCGGAGCAATTAACCCTTTTACCGAATTATGTTAAAAAATGTTATAATTTGTTCATTTACTACTTTAGTTTACAGCCATTTAATTACAAGTTTTGTCTTTCAATTGAATATTCAAGTTTTAATGAACTTTGATCGTTGACAATTTTAACTTTTTTTAGATCTAAATCATGTAAGGTTCAAATTTTTTTAACTAAAATTATGTTGAGTTTAATTTATTCAAATTTGAATAGTTTTGAATTCAAATCGTTCACGTTTATCAATTAATTTATTCACTTTTTATCAATTAATTTATTTTTCTCTATGTAGGGAGCCCAAAAGGAATGTAGTGAATGGGAATAATACGGAAGCCCCTGTGCGGGGGAAGCTTAAGAAACTGGACAAGATCAGCGTCATCAAAGTGCACATGTGTCACCAAAAGATGAAAAGCGAGGATGAGTCGGTCGATGGAGCCGATGTCTGACGTCCGGAAACCAGTAATCGCTCGATTCCTTCCGAGTGGTAGCTATTTCGTGACAATGCATCCCTTGGCCTGTCCGTTAATAAATATTTTTGAGACGAGAATGAAAGAATCAAGCGAAACACGTGATCACGGTCCCACATTTGGCCTTCTTTAAGAAGTTTATCCAATGTCCGTCTCGGGCCCCTATGAAAGGTTGTTTCATCGTTCTTTACGTTCTTAAAAAAGTACAAATATATCATGTACACTTCAGCCAAACCCTTTCTCGCTTCTACTCTTTTTGTCTAGCCACCAGGATCAAGCGGAGCGGCATCATGTCAGGTACGTACGGCACAGGAAATTGAGTCTCAGGAGGCTGGATCTAGCTCCTGTAGGGCCGTAAACAGTCCGGGTGTGGCGTTTTAAGGCTGTGTCCAGGCTCCACAACTCTAGGTCTAGCCTTAATGTTGACTGAGGAAATTTAGTCTATTTTCTTGTTTTTAGATTGGTTCGTCTCTCCCCAACACTTATTTCTGATTCCGTCCTTGCCTTCTCCGTTGCATGCCTGAATTATGATGGGCATTGCTTTAAAAAAATAATAATAATAAAGTCTTGGAATGCTCTTTTAACAAGATTAAAGAACCTTGGGTTCATCCGGTTATGCGTAAAGGCAGCAGTTAGAATTTTGAAAAGTTGAAGAGTATCGTGAAAGCGATGGACAGCCCCAAGGTGAATCTGTCACAGGATGTTTGCTCAAGAACACTCGTCCGACCATAGTTAGGTCTGCACTCACAACTCCTCTAGTTAAGTTAACCTAAAGTCCCTCCACCTCCCACCCAGGGAACGGATCACCTCCCAACTCCCAAGCCTAAAAGAGGACTGAGCAAAGAAGAAATTTTACTGTAAAAAAAGTGCAAGAGCCTGACATTTACAAAGGAGCAATGAAGGTTGTATTTATATACATTTTCCCCTCTCCCAAATGATCACTAGCAGATGTACAACGGCTACAAGCCTTGAAAATTCAAAAGCAGTCTGCCCCGCTCCTCTTGTCCCGTCAGGCAAGAATGTTGGCTGTACAGGTTCTGCCCGCCCTGTGCCTGGGAAGAAAAAAGGCCCGTGATACGTTTCAAAAAACGAAATGGAAATCGCTGACTTATTTATACTTTGATTAGTCAGTTTCTGGCGGTACAAGCACGTGATAGAAATAATGGTATATCGTTGTACATTCACAGTTTAACAGAAGATGAAAGTAGCCAAAGCAAAAGCTAGTCGGATAATCCGATTCATATGAACAAAAGAAACAAAGGCAGCCGTCAGATTTAAGATTTTTCATTTTTTTAATGTGATGGTGTCGGGTTTTTATTTGGACAAACGTGTTGGTAACTTCTTGTTATTTATTGGTCCCATAGCAAACACGCGTGCCAAACGTCCACAGTCAACTTGATTGCTAGCTCTTGCACATTGACTTGCGTTAAGGCAAGAAAAATGGTTCGACATCGCTCGACTAGACGCGCTATCGTACGAACCTACTGCCAAGTTCTATAAAGACTAAACCTTGGGAGGAAAATGCAATCAAGCAATGCTACCTCAGCAAGAAGGGCAAAATATTGATGCTGCTGAGTTGGCGGAATTCCCATCTTGCGCTTCCAGGGACGCCCCATTGTGGAATTTCCATGACAAACCACCGCAAGGTACCTTTTTCGGATTTTGTCTCTTGTGTGTCCTATCCTAACACTTTGCCTTCTAACTTCATACCTTAATTAAGAGTCGTCTATGTCTTTCACAATGGACAGACACCCAGGGGTTTTGTTTTCAAAGACTTAGTGCTGTATGAGTTCTTTTTCAAACTTTCACAACTCAAAGTTGGTTTTTTCTTTTACATCAACGTTTGATACGAAATTATTAGAATAATTTGTTGGTTTAAAAGATTAGAAAATAATAGTCAACATAAAAATAAAATTGTAGCCTAAAGTATATATATTGGCTACCCTTGGATAGAAACTCCGGCTCCATTATTAGTTGATTGAATTCCTGTTATGAAGCATGAGTTGGAAGCATATACTTGGTGACATTGATCATTGTGACGTTGAACCACCCATATTCATAAACTCACACCTTCTACGTGTTAGACATTAAACTACCTAGGAAATATATATCATCCTCAACAAACATACAAAATAATATGTGTATTATGTAGATGTCAAATTTTGGCTAACTATTATTTGTTTAAGTATTGTGTTATAGAATGAGAACAAATATGCAACAGCTATATCACATGGGAGAGTGAAAGTAACTTAAAATGAGTGATCGAGTTTCTGAGTTATTTTCACACTTGGGATGTTTTAGAGAATTTGACTTTGTGGCTTAGATATGGAGGTAGTTAATAGTACTTTCTCTTAACTTTTACTTGAAGTACATATGCTTTACTCTTTTCTTATTTTTTAAAAATAAACGTGGTACTTTGTTAAGTACTGCACTTCACTACCTAAAACTTATACGTACTATCCAATTACATATGCTTCTTATAACAAGCACGTTCTCCTATATAGAAATGTGTTCTCCTAAAAGTTCTATCTTTCTACCAATTGCTCCCAAGGAAGCTCTATTTAGTATAGATACGAGAGTTTGACAATTTCGGGGACAAATGAAAAATTCATCTGAGATTACTTTCTAAACCCTTTTGAAGCTTTTTCAAATATTCTCTCTATTCAGTTCTTTCCATTTGTCGTACTCCACTGCCTTCTCCACCTAGTTCTTTACTTCTTATTCCTCACCACTTACCATAAAAGCATTTACACTTCAAAGACTGCTCAAATTTTTATCTCTACTGCTTCTAGTATATTCCGTTTTATTTACTGCAACACGTCCTTCTCTACGTATCACAAACTCAAACAGAAACTGTAATATATCTAACAACAATTCAATTATGTAGTCATTTAAATGTGTATCAACATCTCTTGTTATTAGTGCTCTTCTTCCCACACATTTAGTCTTTTTAACATGAATGAAAAACTCTTGTACTTGATGGTTTAGATTTTGAAACATATATAAGAAACCCCATAAAAGAAATTATAGGTTTACAACATATTTTATGATCTTCACCTATTAGTTTGTTATGTGTAAATGAAATCTGTAACTTGCTCACTCTTACATGCAATTTTCTCTTTTGGTCAGAAAAGGAAAAGGCTGAAAAACCTAAACAGCCACATGAGAAGGCTAAGGTCAGATATGGAAGAAATAAGTAAGGATCAAAAAATGATCAAAGAGGGGCAGAGACAAGTAAGAGAAAAATTTGCAGCCGTTGAATTGGAATGTGAACAACTTCGAAAGGAGACTAACCTCATAATGCAGCAGAGTGCCAACACCCAAATCCGCCTTGCTTTCATGTTCCAAATCCTGAAAGCAAGAGCAAACGAAGAGTTTGACAAGGCAGCCAAACTCACTTGTGCTCTCCGGTACTTCTCTTCACAATTTCATTAATAGAATTAAGTTAAGCTGCTAAATTCCTCATTATTTCTTGAACGACTTCCTCAAAACTGTACTGTGCACGTAGTTGTTTTCTAAAAGTTTTGTCATGCCGTTGCTAACATTAGCTTCTCCCTTTCTATTTATTGCAGCGAACTGATAGCAAGAGATAATAAGCAAACAAAAACTATGGCACCAGTTGCTGGAACATGTTCTAATAAATAAATTAAGGGTGGGGAGAACAAGCTCCTTGTATCATATTCAGTTAGATTACTGCTAATTAAATGATAATTTCTTTTTGGTTTTCTAGCATATTTGTTGCAAAGGTGTTAATCTGATGAAGACAAAGATTCAATGGTGGCTGCTGCCTTCAAGTCGTCGCATTTGGTTGTTTGGTCTGTCTTTAATGTTGGCTGAGTTCTTCAGTGTGGTCATCGTCGTTGCCTCTACTATGCAATCTATTTCGTGTTGCTGTTATGTGTTACATGTTTGTTTTTAGTTTTCAATTGAATGTATTAAACTTTTCTGTACGAGTTTAATAATAAGATGGACTGTTGGGGTGACAAAAGTTTTTCTGATCAGGAAGAAAGAAATAAGGGGAGAAAAAAAAAATTTCTTTTTTATTTTCAAATACAAATACTTTTATATATGTTGATTTTTTGCGTTTTTAATGAAACTTTGCATAACCTATAGAATTAAAGAGTTCTTTTTCCCTTACAATAAATGGGATACTATAATATATATTTAACTATTCAAATACGATTCATGATATAGGCTATCAGTAAAACTCATCTGAATCTCAATCAATATATAACTGACTAATCTGGATCTCATAAATTTATATGGACTCATCCGTGTATCATATAATTTATATTACAGGAATGAAAATTTGTAAATGTTAAGATTATTAAACAAATTCAGTGATTCAATTAGAATAAAATATTATTGGCTAGTTAGCTAGTTAGACTATAATCGATTAGCTTATAACTAATTAGACTACAATACCGTTATGAATATGATAAATCTTTTTTTCTTTTGAAAAGCCGAGCCTTCATTCACTAGTAAAGTGTTTACACAGAATATGATTAGTCTTATATATTATTCACCTTTGTAAAAATACACAATTTAGAATACAAAATTTTTCTTTTGTTAACCACAAATTTCAAGTGAAAGTAATGATAAACTTTATGCATAATAAATTTATACTAATTAGGATCTACCATAGAAGGAATTTAAAACATGAAAGTGTTCCTAATTTTTTGTACATGATTTGACAGCAAAAATAATATTGACTAGATTAACTGTTGAGATTTAGTGCCTTAAGATCTTCCTCCTCCATGATCTGTTAATTCTCCAATGGGCATCTTAATATTTTTTGTAAACAGGAGAAGAGACCTAATCTTACCTTTATATAGTGAATCTTTATTCCTACTCATTATAGGATTGAAAGTTTTCTGCATATATACACTTGCAAGCTTATATATAACATTGGAGTCTAGCTCTGTTTATTATATCATATTATGGATTATAATATTATCTTTTTATCAAGATCAAATGAACTTAGCCATATTTTGATAAAATATAAAAAAATAAATAATATAAGTCCATGTAACAACCCACTCCTACGACCATTATCGGCACACAAGTCATGCAGGCAAGCTCACACAACTTGGCAAGCCTTTTATGTTTCATTCAATTTACTAATTAAAATTCTTATCTTCAATTCACCACCAAAACTTCAAATATTTCTTTAAATATGACAGCCATAATAATAATATGTCTTCAAATAACAACTTGAATTCTACACCACAGGTGAAATTTCATAATAGAATTTACCGACCACTTATACATTACGTTTTAAATAATACCACTCCAAATTAAATGTCATAACATCCAAGAGCCTCAACTCGAAATAGTTTAGATATGTCACTTCAAATAAAGTTTTTAAAAAATTACTTGATGATTGGACAACATAGTGACATAAGAGAGAGCTAGGAGATGCCATTACCTACACAATTGCGAAAGGAATCTTTGCCAATGATGTCCCCAACTATTTATTTATCTACACATTAAATAACTTAGGTGAGTCTCACAGACTCAGAGATCATCGGCTCTGTGAGCAGGCAGGGAGGGGAAACAAATATAACAGTAGAATATTTATAAATCTTGGAATAAACAATAAAAATATAATCAATTAAATTAAAGGATTCTATGCCTTGCAAGTCTTAAAAAATAATAAATCATAAATACACACATATGGAAATGGTTATAATTAGCATGCTAGAAAATCTTCCAAATTTAGTATCTTTTCAACAATAAATCCAATGGCAAGTATAAAATGAAAAATTTCAAACATAAAAGTGTGGAATAACCAGTTACTAATGAATACGTAATTTCACTTGCCATGTAAAAACAAAATACAAGTATTAGCACCACGCCATATTTAATAAAAATCAATTAGCGAGCATCAACCTTGGGTAGGTCTAGTTAGCCCTTAGGCATACTCTCGCATGTCAATAACATCATCACCTACTCGTGGGAACTCCCACCCCACCAAATATAAAATCGGGGCTTTAGGTCCCCCTTCACCTAATTGTGGGAACTCCCTATGCCATCAAATATAAATTGAGGCTTTAGGTTCCCTTTACCTACTTGTAGGAACTCCCTACGCCACCAAATAGAAGTCGAGGCTTCAAGTCCTCCTTTATAATCTAATATCAATAATAAATAATCATTACTGTGCACAAAGGCCATACTAACCTAGTGTGGTAACAAGTCCTACCCTCGAGTGTCTCCATTTTATTAAAAGAAAAATAAATATAATTTCAATGCATTCAAGAAATGTGATAAAACAATATCTAGTATATTTACAAACCAAATGTTTATGCACAAATTTATTTTACGACATGGCATGATAAGCAAACAACATGCATTGATGAATAACAATAACTTAAGCATCATTTTCTGTGAGTTAAATAATGGTCATTGGCTAAGCACTACACAAAGCTTACAAGGTAGATTTTTGAAGCAAAAACTTATCAAAGGTTTGTTTTCCCCGAGTTAAAAATGTGTAATAATTATATATACATAATATAGAGAAAATGGATTTAAAATCTTTATCACAATCACAAACAACCTAGGATTTTCTACTAGCTCTTGGTTACCACAATTTCGTTCAACTATCAAGTGTAACATATATAATGTATTTACAAGAATCTAGTTTTTAAATTTATCATCCACTTACCTCAATTGGTGGGATTTCTCACCAATATTACTAATCAACTTTCCTTAACTTAAGCTCAATATATTTTTGTCGAGGGACTTAGCATAATTCAGTCCATCATGATCACCCGAGCCTTGTTGATTTCTTCCAACAGTCAAGGTTCCAACTCAATTATTCACTAGTTGCATGCACAAGGACATTTCTCAATACGAGGCTCAATGTTAAACTATTACATAATTTGGACAGCAAGTGATATAACAACAAAACTCCAATTTCAATTTATTTTCTTACCTTCAAATCTCTATCAACTTGCCCTTGATATTCAGCCACAATGCTAGGAGAATTTTTAATCAACACTTTCCTTCATTACTCCTTTAAATCAAAACATATTAATTCGATTAATCAAACTCCATGGTTAAACTAAACAATCAACTAGAATTAAATTCATCATTGCCTTACCTAGCTAGCATCAAATCCAATATTTATATCATGCTTACAATAAACCAAACGATTATTTAAACCACATTTATATCCAACATTTAAAACCAAATTCAAAAGTCAGCCCCTAAGGCAACTAACAGCTCAATAAATTCAAGCTTTGTTTTAACTTTAAAATCTAATGTCTAGTTTAATTTAAAATCATGGCGAAAATTAGCAAAGGATGAAACCTAAGCTATTCACCCATAGTGGAGGAAATGGTTATGGCGCGTGAGAGATTAACAACCCATGAAGCTAATGTTAAGGCCGGGTAGCCTCAATGTAGCTCACTTCCCGTGGAGACAAAGGGGATAAGAGAAAAAGGATGTTATTATTGGATTAAATTCCATGAAGAGAAGTAAGAGAACAGGAGATGGAAGCTTGGGTGCTAGTTGTGAGGTGAAGGAATGATGAAGGCATTATGATGTTTGTGTGGAGGCCAAAAGAGAGAAGGATGTGGCATAGTTGCTGCTACAATGGAGAGAAAATTTAAAGAGACACATGCAGCAAACAAAGGAAAGAAGAGAAGAAGAAAGATACTATTAGCTTAAATTCCATGAAGAGAAGTAAAAGAATGAGGAAACGGAAGCTTGGGTGCTAGTCGTGAGGTGAAGGAATGATAGAGGTGTTATGGTGTTTGTGTGGAGGCCAAAAGAGAGAAAGACATGGCATAGTTGCTGCTATAATGGAGAGAAAATTTAAAGAGACACATGCAATAAACAAAGGAAAGAAAAGAAGAAGAAAGAAATAAAAATGAAAAAGGAACGAGTTGTAAGAAACCATAAAACATCGAAAGAAATATTTTATGGAAAGAATGACAATTCTCATTCAGATTAACCAAAAATATCAACAGTATAGAGTATTTATATACACAAAGTGAAAGAAAAAGTAAAGCTGTTATGTAAGGAGGGAAAGTAAACTGACTAAAAATAATTCCTAACAACCAATTAACTTTTTACCTAGAGTAAAATGGTAACAAAAATAAAATAAAGTTAACTTATGCATCACATGCTTTTATTTACTGGAAGTCATGTGAGTTTCACGTGTCCACTTCTTTTTGCTTGGTTTCATTTACCAAGTCTTTATTTTTGACTTCTTGATATTGCATTTATTACCTTCATTTAGAAGGATACTCCCCCTAAAGATGAATGTTCATGGTGGAGCATGAATGTCATGAACATTCATCTTGTGTAATAAACAGTGATATTATGTTGGCTGCAAAGCCTTTGTCAATAAATCTGAAATCTATGATCTAGTAGAAATATACACTAGTTCAATCAATCCTTCAAGCATATTTTCCTTGATAAAATGGCAATTCATTTCTATATGTTTTGTGTGCTTATGAAACACTGGATTTTGACATATATGAATTGTAGATAGGTTATCAAAATAAAGTTTGATTACTACTCTCTGTTTAATGCCTAAATCAAATAACAAGTACTTTAGCTACATGGTTTCATAGCAAACTATAGCCACTGACCTATATTTAGCCTCAATTGAGCTACGACCAACCACTGATTACTTTTTCGATTTCCAACTAACCAATGAATCTCCTAAGAATACGTAATACCCTGTAATTGATTTCCTTGTATCAGCACAACCAGCCCAATCACTATCTGAGTAGGCTGATATGCTTAAATTTGAGTTCGCCTTAATGAGTATCCCTTGTCCTGGAGCTGGCTTAAGATACTTCAATACCTTATAAGCTACAAACATATGTTCTTTCTTTGGTTTTTTGATAAACTAAGATAAAACCTAAACAACATAAGAAATATTAGGTCTTGTGAATGTTAAGTATAATAGTTTGCTTGCCAGTTGCCTATATCTTGTTAGATTATCAACCTCTTTTCCATCAACATCCTTACTAATCTTATGAGT